CCATGCAGAGGCACTGGTGCAGAGAGCAGCCAACGACAAATGTCGTCAGGCAAGAGCAAGAAGTGGAAAACGTTAGTCGGAACCCAGGGAAAATTTTGAGGCAAAAGGGATATACATATACATATACCACTGGTTAGGTTACGGGCGGATTGCAGGAATGAAATTTAGGTGGCGACTGAAAAACACTCGGGAAAATACGTTGACTGGGTTTTCACTCGTCTCTCATTCTCTTTTTATTTTGGCCAGGTCTAGGTCCTGGGCCATGGATGGATGTGTCGGTGTGGCTGTTGGCGGCGACGTGTGCATGCAAGGTGCTCGTATAATGCGTTGTGCGTGTTAAAAGATAGTTTTGCCCGGCTCAACGCGAGGCCAAAATCCAGCAAGTTTCAGTAGCAGCCAACAGTAGCAGGAGCAGGAGCAGGAGCAGGAGCAGCAGTTGGAATAGAATGGGAAACTATCCAAACTCAAACCCCAAGTCCAACCGCACAGCACAGCGACAGGTAGTTTTACACATTGAAAAATCCCAAACACCGTGACACGATTCGTTATTTGGGGTTGGGGTTATACAGGGAAAGAAAATGTGGTTATATTACCAAAATGTTGGAATTCTGTAAAGAAAGTTCAAAACCAATTAAAAATAAATATATGATCTAGATGGATAGATTTCTTTAAAGGAATATAAAAGAATGCAACATATACTGGGTTAGTTAATAAAAATAAAACAAAGGAGTGTACATAAAATTCACACAAGAATGAATTTTTTAGAGAAGAAATAGTTTATTTGGATATTATAAGACTAATAATGTATCATATGAACTCCAGATACATCGTTTTTTTTGGGAATATAAATATTTAAGATATAATACTTAAATATCACCCAACTAAAAAACACAAAATGTAGAAAATATTCCAAGTACAAATTCATTAAGTAAACAGAACTCTATTCAGATGTTAAACTTTCTGTAAAACGCTAGGAAATATATTAACAAGAATTGTTTTTATTAAATAATATAAATAAATATTATATAATAAATATAATAAATATTATATAATAAATAAATTAATATAATTAATATATTATATCATTAATATAATTATATATTCAAACATAAGTTAAAAAATTATAAAAAAGCAAGAAAGTATAAAGGTAAAAGGATAGGAAAAAGGAAGGAACTATTAAAAATTCTCAAGTACGAATTTGATAAAGTGTCAAAATTTCTATAACTTTAATAAGTAAGACTTTTTCATCGCAAAATAAATTTTACATTTTAGTAAAGTAATACTCAGACTATCTACCTGCATTTTAAGTTACATTTCTAATTTCTTCCAATAATTTTCAAATTTTTCTCTCTCTGTACTTTTTCAAAAACTGCTCCTGTTCAGGGGCTACTGTCTGTGGATAGCTGTGTGTGTGGATAGCTCCCTAATGTAATGGGTCCGGGGATCAGGGCAACGCGAGACAAATGCACAAAGAGCCTCACTCCTTTGTTTGCTCTCCACATTTTCCCTTTTTCCTTTTCCTTTTTTTTTGTGATGGGGAAAAATACTACAGCTGCAGCATTGGCATTGGGGGATCTTTTCAATATCTCTGCAGTTGTATAAAAAACGAAGGTGTGTGCTAAGGGGATTTCTGGGCATTTGGCTGCGATTTGTTTTAGAGAGGGGAAAAACTAACCCAAAAAATATAGGGGGTCCTCAAATGGCCTCAGTAGGGTTTACGTTGTTTCTGTCAAAGTTTGATGGAAATTGGTAAAAAAGTTTGCGAACATTTTAAATTCGTATTTTTATCAGGAATTTTCTCGTTTGTATTTTTTTTTGAGATAGAAAGAATGGGACAAGAAAAGCTGAGACTGGTTTAAATGGGAACATTACTCTTTTTGAAAACATTACCAAAATTCTTTCAAAAATATAATTTATTAACAAAGTTGTGTAGGTAAAAAACGTTTTTAAATTTTTCAGAATAGGCAATTATTGTTTTTCTTACCATTTTTTTTTGTTTTACTTTTAACTGAAGATGTTTTTGTTATTGTTCAACACCAACAAATGTTAAACAAACGACAAACTTGAAGCTCAGACACGGACGAGGGATTTTTTTCTCTCTTGTATTTGTATTTTTATTTTTTATTTTTTGTTGTGTTGTGTTCATGGCTTGTAATATTTATTTTTTCCACACTGCGCGTGCTTCTTGTCCATATTTTGCCCTTAACCCCAGAGTGCCCCCTGTCGCATCCCATTCAAGTGGCATCGTCATGTGTTTTTTTCTGGTCCCGAGGTCTTTGGGACTTTGGCCACTTTTCATTCCACACTTTGGGCCTGTCTCCGTCTCCGTCTCGGGTTCCTAGACAAATATTATTGCTTCGAACACGCCGTTATTGCATATTTGCCTGTACGTAGATATATATAAGTTTTTATTTTTTTTTTCCAAAGTGTGAATGAAATTAATGCGTTGCACGGTCCCGTAGGGTAGGAATTTTCCCCTTTTTCCCACACAAACACACTCTCTAACCTTTGGAAATGTTTGTTTTTGTTTGTTCCCTCTATGCTTTTCCTCTCTCCCTCTCCTCTGGTTTTTCCACCAAATATTTTTTCTATTTTCCACAGACTAAACGTTATTAAATGCAGGCAAATGCCTCGCCGTTGGATGTTCCAATGGCATTTGTGTAGTGTTGTCTTAGTCGCTGTCGTTGTTTTTATTCTTACTTGTATTATTTTCCTTGTTTTTCCCTCTTTTTTTTTTTTGGGGTGTTCAGGTCAGAGTATATATGTATATATGAAATGTTTTCTCTTTAGTTTTTTGCGGCAAAAGCTTTGAGTGTTTATTTTTTGTGTTGCCTACATTTTTGGGGCGGCCAACAGGCGCGCTAATAGTTGCTAAAATAAACGATGAAACAGTGGGCTAAATATATATATTTAAGGTATTAAAATATAAATTTTAACTTTAACCCAGTAAATACCAATTGAAACTCCAACATTGAATTGTTGAAGAAAATAAAGGAACATAAAACAATGGAAAAACACTTGCAACTTTTCTGTGCCAAAAAAACAAATCCAAATAATTGGCACTATAAACTCCGTCTTTAGAGACTCTTTTGCACTTACCAACAGCTTACCAAGCTCCAATTAATTGGCTCAATTCATATAAAATTCGTTCACTCCACTCACTTAGCTTCAATAACATGGTAACCCCAAAGTTTTTAGTATTTTCTACACACAAACTTTTACACAGAAAGAAAGGCGAACTTTTATATATATTTCTGTGGTGTGTGTGTGTGATTTTCCACAATTAGCCTTAACTGATTTATGTTCCTTAAAGACTTTAGTTGGCTCTCTCCCCTTCGATTGAGTTTTTTGGGTAATCCCATTGAATGAGCCAGCCACCTGTTCTTTTCATGCATCATTTGGCTTTTTCGGCTTCACATACCATAAAAAAAGTGCTGAGTAATGTGTCATTGGCCGGTTTTCAGCACCTGTTACCAAACTGGCTAGCAAATGGGCCCCACTGTGCACCATGGGCCTTGGGGCTAGGGGGAGCCTCTCTAATGCTAAGTAGCTTTAATGCTGCCGGCTCGTTAAGCGGGTGGGCGCTATGGGGCGAGTGTGGGCGTGGCTGCACACAAAATTGCCGGGGAAAAATGCCGCCCCTAAATGCTACTAATTAATGAGGATTTAGTGAAAACGTTGGTTTCCTTTTTTTCTTGTATTTTATTCGTTGGAAAAACATAAAGAAATGCCATTGCAAGCCGCCCTCGCATAATGCAGTTTTCGGTGGGGGCGTGTTTCCATTTCCCCGGAATATATATATATATATATACATATATATTTTTCTTTCTGTGTGCTGCCTGCCCTGGTATTAGCATATAAATAGCGTTTTAAATATTTTTAGGCGCACATAATTCTAGGTATTTTCCCCGCCACCACCACAAAGATATATTACAGCGTTTTATTTGTTAAGTATTTCTCTCTGGCCCTGAATTCTCGGGGTGTTTTTTTGGAGTTTACGTTCGAGTTCGCGTGCGGCCAGGACCCTAGGTCTTTGGGTCCTGTGTAAACAGGAAACGATCCTAGGCACACACACATAAGCACACTCCTTGCCTGGCACATAAAAAGTAGAAGAAAAAAAGAAACCGAAAATAAGGAGTACCCACTCCTTGAGAGCATTTAACGCGCAACTGGCAAACGGCAAACAAATGTAATCAATGAAATTTTATGTGCAACAGAAACGCACTCCAGATTTTCCACAATATTTCCCCCATTATGTGTGTGGCGTGCGACTCTCTCGCTCTTTATGCTTTTATAACTTTATTTAGCCAGGTTAAACAGAGTTCAGATACAAATTACAATTGCGGTGCGTAAGGAAAATTAATAAAGGATTTCCATGACCCACAGAATCGTTGGTTTTGTTATGAATATAAAAACAATTTAGGGTGTAATATTAGGTGGATTTAGAAGGAAAATTTTAGGGAAAGTAAACTTATGTGTCATTTTTATAGGTTTAAAAAGGAAGAATTAAAAATGTTGATAATTTATGTTGAGAAATTCATGGTTAATTTTTCTAAAATATATATAAATGTACAGAAAAGACCTGAAGAGTTTTGGAGCTTTAAATTTTAAGAGTAGTTTAGCTTATTGCAAAGGGTATGCGTATAATTCCCAAGTACAGTTTCAAGGCTTAAAATTCTCAAGTTTGAATACAATGTCATGATTACGTAAAGATTTTGAACCTTTAATGCTCACACAACTAACTACTTTTTCTTACTAATTTGAAAATATATCTTTAGCTTTGTGCTATTTTTACAAACCCTGATTTATAGCCTATCCTTTTTTTCCACCTATATATTATTCCGAGCACATCTGTAGAATTTATTTATTTATTTTCCCCCTCACTCCAGTCAGTTAATGCAAATATTTTTACCTTGCTCTCTTTTTACAGACAAGTCCGTTTTACTTCTGCTGCCTGAATCCTTGGTCCTTTCGTGCGTCCCTTTCTGCTAATTGCTTTGTGTGCCGAGCTACTTTCTCCTCCTCGCTAAGCAGGCCAGATCCTTGTACACTCAAGGCTCAAGGTTAGTATTATACTCCTCTTTATATACATTGTATTCCTTTTTTTCTGTTCAGTCTGTCGCTGGGTTAGCAATTGGTTTTATTTTTGGGGTTTAATTGCAAAGCTTTGGACAGATTTTAATTACTGACAGCAGCAGGAGCGTTGGCGGGCAACATTTGTGTATAAAAGGTCATTGGGAATGTTATCCAAACAGCAGAATATTCAAATTGAAATTAAGCTAAATATATATGGGAAACCGACGGCGAAAGGGTAAATAAGTATTTTGATAATGGATAAAAAGGGTCCTGTTTTAATTGGATAATAATGAAAATGAGACACGAGACAGTATATATTTATTTAAAAAGTGAAAACAAAACGAAAAGTTTCAAAAGAAGATTTAATGTGGCATTAATTACTTTTTATAAATCGCCCAGGGTAGTGATAAATCTTTTCATTAAAGATTTATGTGGAATCAAGTGTGGGATATAAATTGAATTCGTACAGAATATATCTTGTTTATATCTATTAAACAACTTTAGAAGAAATAAAACTCTACGCACCTAGATTACCGCAATGAAATCCACTCAATCGATAAATCAAATTGTCTTCGATTGCACTTGAGAGAAGTTTTCTAAACAATTGCATTCAATAAAATCAAGTTAGGCGCACAAATCAAACCCCATAATCTGAGTAACATAGGAATAACATTAGCATTTGTTAATCAAAGTGTAATTCCGCAATTGCTACCCAATTCGATGGCCTCTTCTCTGAAAGAACTTTGAACTAAAAACGTCTGAAACTGCCAAGAGAAACAACCATAAAAACCTCCAGCCAAGCGAAATAAAGTAAGACACACACACACATTCTAGCGAGAGAGCAAAAGGAAACTTTCTTAGCCACTCAAAGCGCCACAAATCACTTTAAACTGTAAGGACAAACTTGGTTGGTAGATGGAGGATTTCCCCGATACCAAAAAAACACCCAGATCTTACCTGTGTGGCACTTGCTTTGCTGGCTATTAAATCTCGGCACTTGTTTTCGCTCAGCAACACTGAAATCGTATATCTGTAAGATATACAATCACTTAAATCGTTGAGCGGCTAATCCAGCCGCAGACTGGAGTTTATCATACATCACAGAAAAGTCTCTGGTTCAGGCTCAGTTCAGCTTCAGCTTCAGTTGCACGATGAAAGGAGGAAGAAATTGGTAGGAATTGCTCGCATTTCAAATGCCAAATATCAGTTTACAGGCAGTAGAGGGAACAAATCAATAATCACAAAAAAACCTCAAGGAAACGAAAACAGAAAGGAGGATAAATGGGGAAAGATGAAAAGTGTGCAGACCAGGGAATACCTTAGTTAGGTTGGAGCGTAAAAAACATAGCATACTTTTAAGCGAGTTCATATTTTGAAGCTTAAAATATGGGGAAACTATAGAACTTACTAGAGTTTTTTAATATAGGAAAAATTACTCTAAGCTAAATGATGTAAAAAGTACCATTTTACACAGAATTATTTTTGGTACAAATATATAATTGCATATATTTAGACCGTTTTTGTAAAGGATTCTTATTCTTTAGTAAATTTTATTATAATTTATCATATTTTTATTATATTTAATTATATATATATATAATTTTTACATAGAATTATAATTTTTTGTACAAAAATGTAATTCCACACATTTAGACAGTTTTTCTAAATGGATTTTTATCCTTTAGTAAAAATTCTCTTCTATTTTATACTTTTAAACATTATAAAAAGTATTCCTTATTTTCTATGCAACATATAAATATTATAAAAAATATATACCCCTTGACCTCTTCGATTACTGGGTATGAAAAAGGCACGGGAAAAAATCAACACAAGACCCCGAAGGCATATCAAATTTTTCTCTTTTTCTTCTCTCCATTGATTGACGTCTTTTTGGAAATAGCTACGCGGGGGTGGTAAAGTGGGTGTCACATTTTCTTTTTTTTTCATTTCTTTTTTTTTGGAGGCGGAGAAAGGTTGTGTCTGAGCTGGGAAGTTCTTTTGAGGAGTTTCCTTTCTTTCATTCTCCCGCTGATTTTTGCTTTTACTTTCGATTTGGCTTTTGTATTTTGGATATTTGCGCTGATTAGCACAAAGGCGGAGGGAAATTGGTGGATAAACTAAGGGAACGAAGGGACCTTGGGTCCTGTGTAAACGGAAAAGAAATCAAATGTTGTCATCATTGCCGGCGTCGGTCTAATCTCTGGAGCATGTTAATAACCCAAAGGGCCACCTCCCCTCATCAGTGCTGTCCATGTAATTTCATGCAAATATCGTATTATACGACCGGCGGAATGGAGAACTGTACGTGTTGTGGGTATAGAAACGGTCTTTCGTCCTGTCTCTCCTTCACAGACACACAATATAATCATAACAACCAGAGTCCAGTAGAGGTCCTGGGAAGTGGGGTGGACTTGTGTAATATTTGTCAAGAGCCAACCGATGTGCCGACAATTGTAATGGAAAAAAATACATAATAAAACGGAAGAAAGGGAAGTAAAACCCGTAGGAAGAAAGCGGGAGAAACCCAAAGTGGAGCGGACAGCGTGAAAGCTGGCCATAAATAAGCAAATAAAATGTAATAACTAAGTGAAAATGTGCAAAATGTTGCTGTGTTTGAGGCCGTTGCCTTAATGTTCCCCTGGAGTGCCGCCAAACTAAATGAAAATGTCAATGGTGAAGGGATCAGTAGTTACTTTGTATTCACAATCAAAAGTGCTTTAGATACGGACTAAGCGAAAATTACAGGGGAAATTGCAGAGATTTTGAGTAAGGGTTTTCCACATTTAAACCTAAGGGATTGGGGAACTTGTAATTTGTAATTTGAAAAAGTTGTAAAGGAATTTATAGGAATGCTTCTTAGTACCATTAATAATTATTGATTTCTCGTTGAAAAATTTACTAAAGTAATCAACAGAAATCCCGAAACATTCCTTAACTTGTAAATAATTAACCATCAAGTTAATTTCTATTGACTCAAGGCATCAGACATTCGCATTTTGGCATTAATTTCAAGCTTAAGCTTCAACTCCCAAGTTCATATCATCATATTTAATGCAAACTGAACATTTGGTGAATTTCTACGAAATATACATATATACTGCCACATATCTCTTACTTGGCACAATGGCAAAAGCTGCTACTGCTACTGCTTCTGCTTTCTGGGTGCAGCTCTATCAAATTCGCACACGTGCCGAGCTTTGAACTCTTAACTGGGATATTTTATTCATGGCTCCCGAAATCTATTTCGACTTGAGCTGCTTAAGTGAGCAGCAGCAGCAGCAGCTCCTCACTTCACTTCCAACTAGCTTCCAACTAGCTAGTTAGCTATGCATTTTGCCACGCCCACCGAACTACTTAGCAGCTGCAGCAATGGCATAGCCAGCTTAAGCTACACTGCAAGTAAAACTTATAGTTTTTTGGGGGGAAAAATTTAAAAAAGTATTATTCTTTTAGTATAGATAAAAAAGGTTATCATTGAAACATTTTTTATATTAGAAAAGATAGCTTCAATCATGAAATTTATCCCAGGCTTAGTTTGTAAAAAAACCCTTGCCTACTTTTTGGGGCTACGGTTTCCTTTTTAAGCCAAAAGAATCTTATAGGAAAACGCTTGGAAATAAATGAGTTTTTATCAAAAAATTGCATTATAGTTTAGAAAAAAAAATATGCTTCAATACAGGAATTAATACCAGGCTTAGTTTGTCAAAAACATTGCCTACTGTTTCCTTTTTAAACCAAAAGAATCTTATAGAAAAACTCTTTTAAATAAATTAGTTATTGCTAAGAAAGTACATAGTAATTTAATCTTTTTTTAGGGTTAAAACATCACTGCAATTTTAAGACAATTTAAAGGGTGATTTAAAAGCCTAAAAAACTTGTTTTTAACACTCCCAGTTAATATTTTTTTGTGAAAAATTCATAGAAGCTGGTATCTGATATTTTATGTTTAATGTTTTTAATGAAATGTTAAGCGGAATATTTGATTGTTAGAAGAACATATCAGTGAGGAATTTTCAGTTTCGATTTAAAGTCTCAAAATATACTTTTAAAGCTCCCCCAGTTATGTATATTTTTGTGAAACTGATAAAGAAATACTTCTTAGTTATTAAAATTATCATTATAGTTAAAAATAAAAAAATATGATTTAATTTCTAGTAAATAAATATCGTCTTACATGTGTAGAAGAACTTTAAAGGTGATTTAAAATCTACAAAGATTTTTATTAGCCCTCCAAATTATTTATTTTTGATAAAGCGCTACCTTTTTGTCTAATATCTTTTATTAATCTATAAAAATCGCATCTTAAATCTTAGACATTTCTCTCCGTGCATCATTCCACACACACACATCGCCAATCTCTACACATTTGCACACACATTTGCTGCTATTGCCCCCCCCGTCTCTCTGTCTCCCCTCTCTCCCCTTATGCCGTATTCGGTATTCCGCCCTGATAAGTTGCAATGCACATTTCTTGGCATTTCTCTGGGCTGTCTTAGCCACTATCTGCAAAGCGCCACGCTGCCAACTAAACAATGAAGAACTAATCCACAGAGTATACACAAAAGAATGGCTATAAAACCGCTCGTGTGGGTGGATAAAAAAGAAAGAATAGTAAAAAATATAAAAAAAATAAAGAATACAAGAACCGAGAATGAGGTGGGATTGTGTTTGTATAAGGCCACTTTATGGCTGCCCTTTTGCAACAATTGTGCAGCGCTGCATTCAATCAACAAACTTTTAAAGCGCAGTTACAAAACTCCAACAAAACCAAGAAGTAAGGGGGGAGGGAAAAACATACTGAAGGAAAATGGTGCCAAAGTGGGGGGAAAAATGGGAAATGTTGGGGGAGAGAGGGAGCAAAGATACGTGATGGTCAGAGAAATTGCAACAACAATAGCAGCAACAGCAGCAGCAGCGTTTAATTATGACAATCAATACCCAGACATATACATACATAGACAGATCGTAGAATAAATACAGTGGAGAC